ATAAAATGGAGTAGTTAAATTAAAAACTGCGTCGATGTCACAATTAGGACTCTCGACTGCGCCCCCACCCCGATGCGGCTCGAAACTCACAGAACGAAACAACGCGTATTAACAAAATGAATTATCAAATGTTATGTGTGTGCTCTTCATTCTTTTTTCCTGCAACTGTCCGGTTGTCACTAGTTTCTCCGTTTCTTGTGATGTGTCCAATGCATACAAATTGCATATTAGCGCGAATTAGTTTCTTTTACGACATGCTTGTAAATGAGACAGTGGGTATATTATTTTTTGTTTCCCAAAATGGGATCCAAGAACCCACACGAGGAGTTTAAATGCTAAGTGTTGTACCTGTTATAGATAATATCTCGTCATCCTCTTGTGTCCAGAAAGCGATGATAAACTACCGGACGTAAATTTGCCTAGAAAAACCACACAACAGCCAGTGGCTGCTGGGGTTGGTTCTGCAAATAACCTAAACATCCTCTTGTGGCATGCAATCTTTGGCTACTTTGAAGCCCCACCCTGGCTTTTGCCGGGGACCCTTAAATATGACTGGACCTGAAATTTAGCCCAACGGCTGAACGAGGTCTCCGAGACCTCTCCCAAGTGATCCTCATCAGCACGGTGGCACTTTGTGCCACCGGGTGTTTATCGCTTGTGTGAAGTCCTGGTGGGGTACAATTACCTACCTATCTTTGTACCTGTTCTATTCGTATGTGGTGGACAACCTCACCTATGAAATTATCAGCATCCCCAGGTAGTTATCGAATGGCGTGGGCGAAAACACTTCAGGAATTCTCATGGTCTCGAACAGAACTAGCAATTTGTATGGTTACAACTTTCTTTGTCCTCATGAAAGGCTAGTCGGACAGTTTATCTCCTCTTCCTCTGTTTATCGTACCATAAATCATTCCAGTTGTTAACAACACTCGCTCTTTCCACCTTCCTCTTCGATCTCTCTCTCTCTCTCTCTCTCTCTCTCTCTCTCTCTCTCTCTCTCTATATATATATATATATATATATATATATATATATATATATATATATATATATATATATATATATATATATATCATATCATCAGTATAATTTTTTTAAATACTTGACAATTTATTTTATGTGACGTGCCATTATTTTTCTTATATCCTACGTCCAATTGAGTACACAAGATACATACATACATGCTCTTCGTTTTACGAAAGACGCCTGTTGCTATTGACCTCAAAGCCTTGGGTGGATTTTCAATAACAGACCTTTGTGTCTCGGCTGACTCAAAAGTTTACCAGGAAAATATCACGCGAAAGAAAAGCTACCGGCGTGATGTTGATCACATCAACAATCAAATGCCCATTGGTCTTTAAAAATATAGTTCTAGCACAAGCACGCCGCTATGAAGAAAACATGAAGGAAAGGGGTGGGGCAAGGTGCCTAATTTTCAAATAACAGCGACAAAAATTGACAGGTTTGGCATTAATTGCAAAAGACCAACCCATGGATGACGCAGCCATCGTGAATTCTCTGAGAGACAGGACGTTCGGGAGATTTTGGAAGCAACGCGTCCACATCACTGCTAGGAATACGAGATTTGGGAGTGAAGATCGGCACAGCCAAGGATGAGAAGCAGGATGTTTTGTCTACCAGCATAGGACTGGCACTATTAACTGCGCGAAGAAGATGAATATGCTAAAGGGAGAATCTGAGCACCTATGGATGTGTCCGAAGTGCTGTGAAGATAATCCAACTCATAGCTCATTATCGCTCATATTAATATAATTATTACTGTGTGCTGAGTGGCAATTAAATAAAATAATAGATTGGAAATAATATGAGATAAATGAAGAAATGCAACAACAACAAAGCAGAAGTGTGTCTACACATGGTTGGGGGGGGGGGGGAGGGGGGGGGGAATCAGCTTCTGGCGAATTATTGTGGGGGTCCTGAGATGCCCAGTTTCCGGACAAGAACTCAAGACTTGTTCGTGCCCTGGAATTCGTCCTAACGAGGTTTTCCTGAATGATTTTATGTTACTAAGCCAGACGTACAGTGGGCGCCAAGGGGTCAAGCCATTTGCCTAGCACTTTGAAGATCATGGAATAATACAGGGATCGATAGATTTGACGGTGCTAGAAACTCACATTTTGGTGATCAGACAAGTATAGATCCTGATAACCATCTATACTTGTTTGATCACCAAGCTTGAGTGAGATGTTCATTCAACAGACTGAAATCCCGGGAGGGAGAGGGTGTCGGGTTAGTTAAAGCCCACCCCCTTTATATATATATATATAAAGGTTCATTTTCAAAGCCTTTAGGCGTATTGGGAACACAGGGCTAGATCTATATTTTCATAGACCAATCAGCGCTTGGTGGGTGATGTGGGTAGCATCATGCCGGAGCCTGCTACGTAACAGTTAATATTAGGGTACCAAATAGAATTAGGATGTTGTAAGCCCCCCCCCCCCCTCTCTCCCCACCCCTTTTCCCACAATCCATGCATATATATATTGTTTTAAATATTTTAATAACGTGCTGTGCGTAACGTTGGAGGTGTGTTTGATATTCAAGGAGGGGAGGGGGGAGGGTGGTCAGAACAAAACGAACAACATTGGGTAACTTCTTAGGGAAAAAAATACAGAATGATCTGGATATCAATGTTCAGACTTGAGATTGCCGGTTACCCCCTTCCAAACATTACCTAGCCAATGGTTTTTTTTTTCTTTTACATTGAAAAGGTAAATTTACAATATTTTATTTATTGCTGCTTGGACTTTACCAACGCGCTTCGTAATGCCACGGTGCCGGGTTCGATTCCAGCTGCGGAGGATTTGTCTTGCGTTGGTTTCGACAGTGGTACCGAGAGCTGACCATTGAGTAAGCAGTGGCAAACTACTGAACGCAACATTTTCCTAGAAAAACCCCAACAGCCAAAACATGCCGGGGCTAGTTATGCAACGTCCTGTAAAGGATACGCAACTAACAGTTAATTTATATAGACCTACAGTATAATTACGTCATCAGTACACAGAAATATCTGTCATAATAATAAAACAACAATAAGTACATTGGTTTGTCATCATTATCATAAACCACTTTTATCGTTAAGCGCCCTAGGGAGGAATAATTTGCGATCCAACGCACGTTGGCTGCCACTGGCTCTTGTCATGCCGTGAAGGCGTAGAGTGTCTTTAATTTTGTCGATCCATGTTTCCGCGGCCGTCCTCTTGCTCTTGTAGCTGATCTTCTGAGATGTAGTGCTTGTGATGGTATTTGATCTTACTGCATTCTAACGAGATGGCCAAACTATTTCATCTGCTGTTTCTTGATGAATCTAGTACAAGGTATCGTTCCCACAATTTGCATGATATACGCAATTAAAATGTATTTGCAACGATTTTCAAGGTCGATTTAGGAGGGCAGTTTTGTTGATGTTTCGAGAATAGACATGCAAAATGATTACCTCGGATCGAATTAAACAATTTTTAGTTAATTCCTATGGGAAAAAACTCGTTCGATATTTGTTCTTTTGAATGTTCTTCTTCCTTCAAAAATGTATTAATGACAAATATTGGACTTCCACTGTGTTATAGTTGCTGTTATTATTATTAAAATAAAAATCTTGGTGGCGTTACAATGGAAGATACCTACAATGCATTGTTAACTATGCGAATAATCTATGCTGACGTCCCTGTCTCTTCTATGGTGCCATTCTCGTACCACTATCTGAAAGCCTCTCGGACGGCCTTACTCTATACCACCCGCTGCAGGAGTCAAACTTGGTAAACCTCGTTTACTACATTTTGAAAAAAGTTCTTACACCTATAAGTTTAGAGCCGTGCCAGTTATTAAAATAATTTATAACAACAACCTTGTTTTTCTTCTTCAGCATTCCGAGCCCTTGTGGTTCATTGCTGTAGATATCACCTGCCTCCTCTCATCTCTTTAGTCGGCCTTCTCTTTCCAGTTGGTGACACCAAATGTTTGCAGGTCTGTCTGGACATTATCTCTCCATCGTCTTCTTGGTCTGCCTCGTGGTTTACGACCATTCACCTCCCTTGTGTATACAGTTTTTACTTCTCTGTCAGCTGACATTCTTTCAATATGCCCCAACCATTTCAGTCTATTAGCTCTCGTGATGCCAGTAATCAGTGGTGATTTAAACAGATTATGAATTTCGTTGTTGCTTTTCACTCTCCATTCCCCGCTGTTTGCATCTTTGATAGGTCCAAAGATTCGTCGTAAAACATTTCGAAAACCTGTAAAAAGGCTTCATATCTTTTAGTTGAGCTCCAAGTTTCAGAGCCATATAACACGACTGTTCTTATCAACGTTTTATATATTTTGAACTTAGTGTTACGAGACAGATACTTTGACTTAATCAGATGTTGTAGTTTTATAACAACAATATTATTAAAATAGTTTTTTTTTCTTTTTCAAAGAACTCAGTGTTTCTCAAATTTGACAAGCATATCTATTAATTACTGTAACGTCTTTTGTGTGCTCAGTTGTTGGTGGGGTGGGGTGAATAGGTCTACTGTCCCCTCAGATAGCATGTCGTAAAAAGTGAATAATTTGGAACGTTTCTTTCGAAGTCCTAGTGCATCTGCCTGAAAGATGGTCAACCAACAGTTTGCACTGATGGGAAAGCCTTGATGTTTTTGTGTGGGTGTCCGGCTTGCCTTATGATTAGCGAACCCGAGGTGACAACAACCAACACCTATGGTAAACACACTTCCGCGTGGGTTCTAAGACCTCATTTGGGGGGGGGGGGGGGGGGGGTAGATCCACTAACTCCTTACAAATATTTGGTAAAAGTTTTCTTTTAGGAGTGTTTCCCTGAAACCCTTCAAGTTGTAGTGCATCTATCTGAGAAGCGACGAATCAAGCATAAATATAAATAAGTCTGATCTGTAAAATGAATGTGCATGCAAAATTCCAGTTGTGGAACAAGACTAAAGTCCATAAGTGAGCGAACAGCCAGAATATTCACAAACATAGCTTACCTGGATGTGGCGATGAAGAGAAGGGCGACACGCCGCTGTTTCCTTGTCCGGGGTAGTAACTTGGGTGGTGCATGGATGTTGCCCGGCTACCCGTACGCAATCAATTGCAGGTACGGTCTGAGATGTTACCGTCTTGTGGGTAAGTTTCCTACAGCTGTTCACAGACGGTGTCCTTACAAACTAAACGTTGTTCACTACACACACGAATTATAAAATGTATGTATAGCTATATGATATTCGCCTATACTTTTCGTTTGTCATATAAATTTTATGACATACAATCAAACCATACAATGTTTTAAAAAAAAACAATGCGACTTTCTGTCCTGAAATACGGCCACAATAGACTATTTAATCATTCATAGAAGGTAAAACCTATCACGGTTCTGTGCGACCCCAACACGGACAAGTAAGCCAGGTCGCTAGGAAATAACAAGATGGGTTCCACACTTCTGATGAAAAGATGTTAATATTTTCTGATTGCAACCTCTTGGCAGTGTGCGGGCACTGTTCGGATCTCAGAAAACAAATATAAAAGACTTCAACCCTGAACTGAAAAAATAAAATAAAATACAAACCGTTAAATCAACATAATTACACTCGCATCTGTCGTCTTAAAGGTGAATATTAAGTTAATCTGATTTATCACACTTTTTTCCCCGTGTTTGTTCATGTCATATTATAATCGGATAAAACAGTTTCATTCGATTTAATCATCTAAGATGAGGTGATTTTATCGTAATATGAGATCACATAATTTTGTTTCTAGCTGAAAACACAGCTTATACAGTGGAGAAGGTCATACAATAGATGTAATGTTAAGATCACTATACTTATATTGATGTTAAGGGCAAGCTTTACCGATTCTTTCATTCTCTATCACATCTCACTCTTATAACGTATTCCAGTTCTCTCTGTTCTTCTTTCTCCACACCTCTGTCCCATCTCGCGTTATCTGTCTCCACGTGTCCCTCCCTCTTCTCTAGACCTATCTGCCTTTCCTCTTATTCTCTGTCATCTTTAATAAATGGAGAAGCAGATATTGAGTATTCAAATAATACCAGATATACAGCCAAAATACCTACAGAAAAGCACTGTCAAAACTATGATGCAGAAGTTCAAGTCATCACAATAGCAGCAGAGAAACTGTTAAATATACGTCATATTTCACAGATAAAACACTGCATATCAGATCACTCTACTTTTATATAGATGTTAAATTAAGACGACTATAATTATAAATGCAAAGTTAGGACCACGCTACTGCAGTTACAAAGCCAAGTTCACGCGATTGCATTTATAGATGTTATGTTAACATTGCAATACAGTATTACACTTACAAATATTTAGATGTCATAAGACAGTTATATTTTAAATTCTTGAATTAGGATCGTCTACTAATGCCAACTATTTGTCAATAATTCACACTAATCTATTTTAAGATAAGATCACACAGGCTTTTTTTAAATCTACCTGTTTTATACATAAAACGACACGTTATTATCAAACAAAGAAATCGACACAATTCTTTTAAACTGACTTTTTTTTTTAAATATCCAGAAACCATGAGTTGTTAACTCTTTGGCTCGGTACTACATATATAGCAACCCTTCGGCCTTGATTTCATGATAGATTCTAATCAACTGTATAACTAGAGGCACGACTTCAACGTTAATTTAGCTACAAAGTGCTTCAATATTATATCTGTATATCTTCACTTATCTGCATTGTGTTCTCTTAAACTACAAAACGTGCATATACATCATACGGTTTTCATTTAACTATTCGGTGTTCACAAAAACTGTACAACTTTCACTCAAACTATACTATGTTCAGATAAAATATGCAGTGTTCGCATCAATTTTTGTACGCGCCCTCTGAATACATAACAGACATGTGGATGTGTTGATTTCCAAACGCCGATTTCTCTAAGAGGTTTACCATTGCAGAAGTAGACTTTTGAAGTTTATAAGCAGAAGGGGCATAAACAATGAAACATATACCTCTGGAATTCGGTAGTTCAAGACATAGCTATAACAACATCTAAAGAAATATCTAAAGGTAGCATATAACATGCAGAAAGACAAGAAGCATCTAAATGAAGAGTGTGTTTTTGAAATTAAGACAGATGGGAAATATAGTATTAGAAGAGAAGAAAAATACACGGTAAAGGAAACAGCGAGTTTCGGCTACAGTGACTAGATAATAATTAACTGCCACAGACAAGGAAATAATTACAAATCAGTTTGAAAAAAAAAAAAAGAAGTCAAGAATTTGGATTCCCTATATAAAACTAATTTGTCAATATTCAAATTGTGTAATTAGTTACCGACTTAATTCCTAGAGCTTTCAGAAATGTTATAGTTCTACAGAGGAATTGGGTACATTCGTACAACCGGTTTCAGTTATCAGTATGTTTATGAAATGAGTCTAAACGGCACAAATTAATCACCTACATTAGAGAGTCATAATAATTTTTTGACCCTAGAATAAGAGAAAGACGAATACATGTTTATGACTAACAATACAGGTAGAAGGTTATATTGAAGAATACAGCGAGAAACGTTTCCACACCGACTGTTGTCATGGCGCTGGGGGTGTCATCCAGCACACTGATACATGCCGCTGGGGATCCAAAGATGTGGAGAAGTATGATCGCCGACGCCAGCGCTCACATGTAATAATCTGAGTTTCATCAAATCATTACTACTGACATGTGCATTTTCTAATATCACATAAACACATATTCATGTTGATTATATATTCACTTAAGTTATTATTGAAGTTGTTGTGTTGTGAAATAACTGTTGTGGAGTGAATTAACCAGTTTAGCATGAAAGGCCACGATATTTAGATAAGGTGGTCACATCCTTTCCTCGTTAACTTTCTTTCCTATTGATTCTAACAAAATACTGGAAATTATCTGGTCCCTGTTGTGTGAGGCTGGTTCTATCCCAGGAAGGAATTAGGCCTTTATGGGGATAAAACCTTTGGGAAGCTCTCAGCAGGCGAGCGCAAACATTAATTTAACTATCTGAAGTTTATGTTTAAACTGACGCAGTCGTGCGTACAATCGCAATCCCGCAAACACCATGTGACATACGAGTGCATACAGAATGTCAGTAGGGAATAAATATCTCACTTTACGATATATAAATATTTACACGAGTGTAGATCTCTCACTTTTAACTTATACATGTCTTTAGAGATATAAACTGTATCAGTGATATGCTTTACCAGTGAATAATCATTAACACACGGTACAAATCAGGAGGAAATCACACTGCTATGTCCGTTAAAACTGACAGCTCACCAGCTAATGCTGTTCTTACTACTTAGTCCTTGGAAAGGATTCACACAGTAAAAGAAGTTTCCGTGCACAGTAGATCGGGAGGTACGACAAACTGAGATGATTATAACAGTCGGTGATGGAAGAGGAGGCAAACGGGAAGCTGATTGTGACACTGCAAGTCGTGTGCCGGCACGGCGACTTCCTGCTTTATATTACCGGGCAATATTATGTTGGGACGTTTGTTATTGCTCACTGAACAGTTTGCGTGTCATATTGACCCTTTGCTTCCTCGGTGGGAGCCAGCCAATGTCATTTCTTCAGGGAGAAAAAATCCTGTTGGATGCGGATTTGAACCCAACATATTTGAACCCACAGGGGAGCGTCTAGTCGCTACACTCCATACCGGGTATGTCGGAATTACATAACACGTTCGCAACGTCAAAGCCAAAGATGTAAGAGAGGTTTTAATAAAAGAGGGTCAGTTGAGTTTAGCAAAAGACATCACAGTAAATAGACATGTGGGAACTTGTAGTGAACTCTGTCTATCGTGAGACAGAAAGAGCAGTTTGTGAACATAGTAAAATTGAAACAAAAACAGAATGGAAATTGTCGAACTATTTTCAATAACATAAGATCAACAATAACATTAAGAGCAATAAAATATCCCAGTTCTGAAAATATGTGGTTTTTAATAGGTTGTATTTGAGGAATTTAAAAAATAAATACAAGGCTTCTGTAAAGACTTGGAAGGAATTTAAAAAAAAAAAGTTGAGAAAGTAATAAAGAAGAAGAAGAAGATTCGAACATTACAGAGGATTGCAACCATTTGACCCCCAGCTGGAATCGAACTCGGCACCTCGGAATTTCGAAGCGCGTACCCAAAATACGCGACATAAACCTTGATGCAGACAATGAGGACAGCAACAACGAATTATTCTAAATTACCACGAGCCCCGCCCCCATCCCCCCCCCAATCCAGGTGATTATCTCCATAATGTGTGAATGGATGAATCAAATAAAGACTTAATATTAAAAACACTTTCTTCTCATTTGTCTTAGCCCTTTACTACTGTCTCGGCGTCTGTGACTTAGGCGTTGTGAAACGAGCTTCGTAATGCCGGGGGTGCCGGGTTGGATCCCAGCGGCTGGCCTTCTGCCTTGTGTTGGTTTCGACCGTGGTATCGATAAGCCGTCCGTCCAGAAAGCAGTCTCAAACTACTGAACGTATATGTGCCAAGAAAAACCACAACAGCCAAAAAATGCTAGGGTTGGTTCTGCAACGTCCTGTAAAGGATTCACAATTAACGTTGAACTTGTTACTGCCCCTGTAAACTCTGGGGGAGAGTTTTGTTCGTTGTTCCACTTCTAGAGTTTGGTCTTGTTCTTGAACCGGAGTGTTGCGTACATACTCATTTTAGAGATCTCCCTTGTGTGTATCTGAGTACAGGGGAGAAAAGGGGGAAGGGGTTCTAGACAAAAGTGGTCAAGCCGTTTACCTCGTGTTCTGAAGGTTCTGTTCACAAGTACAATTGTTACAGTGATCCCAGGGAATCGACACTGGAGCTACGGACTTTGTGCTCTGTGCGACGCTGTCGGCTAGCCGTTCTGCGGAAAGAGACGAGCAATATGGGATCAAACCCGGTATATGCAATGAAGTTTGTCCTTTCGAGTTTAACCTTTGACCTCATGTGTCTGAAAATTGTTGGTACCCCAGCCTCTCAGGCAGATGCACTCTGGCTTCAAAAGGAACACCCCTAATTAGTTGCCTTTCACGACATGCT